GACATAAAAGAGACAACTGATCTGAACTAAGAAAGCTATTCTGCTTTGTCTGGGGCTACAAATTTTGCACTAAGCACCTGAAAACAAGCAGTTGTAAATGGAGCTGGATATTCCAATTTCATGGTCCAGGTTAATGTCTTTGGAAGTTCAAGTTCAAATTTGATAAATTCTTCATTGTTATGAGTAAAGCAAACTTACAACCTCAATTTAATTTTGGAGGTGGTTCTTGTGAATCATATTTATTTCTTCAAGAACACAGAAATCTGTTTCTTTAGGTAGAACACCCTGTTTTATTTTACTTTTAGGAAAGAGGTAAAAGGAAGAAAGAAGGCAAAGTGAAAGAGAATTTTAGTTTATTATTCTACAGTGTGCTTAATAAAACTTTTTATTCCCCTGTTTTAACTAAGATCCAAAATCCTGTGTTAGTTCACAGTCTGGATTCAGGTACTGATCTACTAAGCAGTGATATCTAAGCTGAAATCCATACCATCACTTTACTGTACCTTAAATATAGCAATACACCTCTACAGCTACTTGCAACCTTTCTACAAAAAGAATCTAGAGAGTGGAGTAATGAAGTGCATTACGTCCACTTAGAAACCTTTACTGGCCACATTGCAGCACCAGACAAAGTTTCTGTAGACTGTGATAGTGATGGTCGACTTTTATTTCATGGATATCTAGAAGAATTTTAGTTTAAATATATTGAGACCACTAGGATTTACTCTTTTCAGCCAACCATATAAAGCCTACACATCAAATAGGCTAAGGTTACGGCTTTGTTTTGTTTTGGGATATTCACAGACAGGAGCTCTAAGGGATTCTAATTTCATAAAATCCAAAGATGTATGTATTAAGAGAATTAGATAAAATAATACTTAATTTTTTTGTTCCTTCACTGGGCTCATTAGGCTTGTTTCTGTAATCTGGCTAGATGAATTTATTGCTTGGATTTTAGTTATGCCTTAATCTGATTTACCATATAATTTCAAATAAATGCAGAACAGTTCTATTCCATGTACATTACTAGCACTCTTTAGGATACTACTTTTTCGAAATTACCCACATTGTTGTAGGTTAATTAGATTGACTTCAGTAGCTGCTCTTGAAATGTATCTCATTTTTCTGTAGTTCAGTCTAACAAAAAACAAACAAACAAAAAACAAACAAACAAACAAACAAACAAACAAACAAAAACCACACCAAAAAAACAGACCTTAAGTGTAAGTGTCTTGCAAAGATTAGAGAATTCTGGAAAAATCCTTCAAGAAAATTTATATCCTGTAATTTACTTCAGGACTGACGAGCAGTGACTCACTGTTAGTTGCAGTTTCCAGATTCCACTTTTGAAAACAGGCAGAAGAGAGAGCAGCAGAAGTACTTCACTATAAAGCATTTTGAGACAATTAGGCAAATCCCAATCTAGTCTTGTATTTTATGATAATTGGAGACACGATACTGCATTCAACACTACTGCCAACCACCAAATATCATTGAATGCCATTATTCCCATGGAAGCAAGTTGGGGTTTGTATTTTGTTTTGTTTTGTAATATCTTTTAGTTATTTTATTTGGAAAATATTTATCAATCAGAAAAGATATGTGAACCACACTGTAGAAAGGGTGTTGAAATCCCATTACAGTTTTACCCACCGTTATTTGACAACCTGTTTTTCTTGTGTTAGGAGAAGAGAATGCGCGATCCAGTTCACTGATTATTTATGGCTATTGATCCTGTAACACAGAAGCTTCATCTAGAGCAACAACTGCTAGACCTGCAGGCAGTCAGCTCTCCAGTTCTGGTTTTGGATACTCACTCTAATAGATGATTCAAGTTACTAGCTGTCCTTTACTAACAAGGGTAATTCTCTATAAAACACCTAGAGTTGTTTATAGATTCCACTCCTCCTTTGGCTTTCATGATGCCCCTTATTTCAAAGAAAAGCACAGGGAGACTCACCAGATAGATAGTGAGGCCTCACCCCTTGCATTAATTACTTCAGAAGCTTGTTTTTCAAGAACACATATTCCGAAACAAGGCAAGGAAGTTGTCAGGCTCAGTCACTGATGGATTTGGGTCACTGAAGAAAAGAGATGTGTGAAAAGGATGCCAGAGACCATTTCTACATAGCAAGTAGATGTTTTTTTTGTTATTATTCCCGGAATAAAATGTTTCAAGAGTTTTAGCTCAAGCAAGCTTGAATAAATGATCATCAACAGAGATAGGGGGATGTACAAATTCTTATGTGCTGCCTTGGCATACAGAAGAAACAAAAAATATTTTGTTGAATTCTCTAAAAAATTAGTTATCTGTCTCATGATTAATCATTTTATTACTCCAATAAAAACATAATAGTGGATTGTGCCCCAGATACCTTTGAAGTATACTAGAACGCATTGTTTTCACTGTGCAGAGTTATAATAAATCCATGGTTTTAAAGAAATTATAGCATGTAATTGCAAAAGATAACTTTTAATAATAAATCCTGGAAATACATACATTGCATGGATGACGTGGAACTTTTATCTCTCTTTGATCCTGAGGGAACTAATATGCAACAGTTGCCATGATTTAAGAACAAACTTAACTTACAGAAAATGTGTATTTTCTTTAAAAAATCATTATTGTGTCCTACAATATAGTATTCACTCCCAATACAAAGAAACATCACCATTGTAAGCTTGGACCAATTTTTAAGTGTTGTATTAGATTAAAAACCTGCATAAAATGCTTGAATACTAAATATTTCTGAAAGGGAAAAATGATGCTACAGAATACTTTTCCATGCAGTGTATGATACCAAAATTTAATAGCAAAGACCATGTAAACGCAAAACTCACTGAAAAAAAAAAGTAAAAAAAAAAATTAATTTGACATCATAATGTGGAAAAAATGCGATCAAATACAAACTATAAGCAGCAACACAACTGAATTTTTCACTGCCATAGTTTAAAATACTATTTTAAGGTGTTGTTATTGTTCTTCCAGAAAGTAGTCCAGAAATTACAATTATTCAGTATCACAAAAATGTCAAATCATTGTTTACAATCCTGATTTTGAAATGGTGGAGACATCTCTGCCTTAAAATTCTATTTTTATTCCTGTCTTGACCATTTTTGCTGGAAGGTAACATGACTGGCAGGTTAAACTCAGGAACAATTGCACTGCTAATCATATGTGGAAAAAAATATTGAAAAAATACATTTCATGGTGTATACATGAAATTTGGCAAACAAATTATTTCACACTTTTATTTCCTTAATATGTATACAAAATGTATTTCATTATTCTTTATAATTATCTTCTACTAAAGAAATGAGATGTTAAAAATCATTATCTAGTTGTTTTTATACGTTCATGCAGCTTCACCATTCCCTTTCAAGTAAATGACAAGTGTTTCCTTTAAAATGGTATTTTTTCTTCGTCATATGAAAAGTGATATTCTTCAGCCCTTTGTCAGGTAGAAACTATAAATTAATCATTTTAATCAATTATATATTCTCTTATTTTTCAATATTAAAAATAAGAAATAGATTTCCTATCTTCAGAAGTTTGAAGTCCCAAATAGTAGTTTTTTAAAAACTTTTAACAAAGTTCCCTTTTTACACATTCATCCAAGTATCACAGACTTTACTTCTGTAACTATAGCCACTGATGGTTAGGAGTCTGCTGAACTAAACAGCTTCCTTGGAGACAAGAAAAGCTTTTCCTGGCTTGTCCTTTTTACTTTTTTGCAAATTTTGCTACAAGATGATTTTTCTTTCCTGTGAAGTTCCCTTAAAATATTCACAAATAAATCATGTATTTACTAGCTTGTGTGGATTTACATCTGAGAGATACATATGTATACTATATAACTAATTATAAACATTATATAAACATTTTCTAAGATGCATCTACTGTTTTAATGACATTTTAGAACACAGATTTTGTATTTTCTGTTTCCCTTTTATTAATTTAAAAGTTCTTTCTGTGATATCTGTCTTCCATAGAGGCATAAAAGTTTTTTTTTCCTAACATTTTCTCTCATGAGGGCGGATTTATTTTAGAGGTGACAGGTATTTTCTTTATCAGAAAAAGGATCTTTTTGATGTCTCATTATATTTTCTTAAAGGTAATATTCACAGCTGTGGCAGTACGTTTTTGACAAAAAGTTCAGTTCTTGTTATTCTGTTATTATATAATAATATATTTATTATGATGATGATGATGATTTATTATATAGAAAGTTATTATATAGAAAGAATTCGCTCTGTCATCAGTGCTTGCTCATAACTGCTTGCCTTCCATTTAACCTTCAAGGTTAATTAACTCAAAAAGCATGTCCAAAAAGTTAGTGTCAATGTGTGTCCAAAAACTAGGTTTCACTGAATGGGGGAGATTGTTCCACAGAACAGTTGTGGTGTAATTTGTTTTCTGTGTATGACATAGTGCTAAACAGGAGCCTTTGAGATGGAGGAAATTATTTAAGATCCATTTGAAGTCCCATTTTCCTTTACAGCAGAGCAGTATGTTTCTTGCCCTTAATCAGAGCTGAAAGACCTTTTTTTTCATTTCATTGCCTAGTCTCTTTCTGCAAAATACCAAGGTTATGTTATTCCTTTCTGGGCTTCTCATGGAACAGTTGGTTGATCCTGAATTTCTTACTGCCTTTTAGTCTTCAGTCCTCACTGTCTCAAACAGGTTGACATGCAGGGAATTTGCTTCCCTGCGTAATTTGTATGAAGTGAACATTGTGATCTGCAGCCCAGCTGCTGTGTACCAGGCATGGTACTGACAACAGTTCCTGTCCAAGAAACTGACAAGAATAAGACTCCTGCAGCACTGCAGTGTGAATTTACTCTGATTTGCTTAATCACTAGGATGCTTTAATTTGAGTGGTTCAAAAACCTATCAAAACAGCATTCATAGGATCAGACATCTGTGATGTTCTACTGCCTTTCCATTCTATTTATGCTCCATCTGACACTTCTTTTTGTTCTTTTTCCTATTCATGCAGTCACCTAATGCTGGAGACAAGGATGACCAAACACTGACGGTAGGAAGCAATTTTTATGCAACTGAGCATTTGTTTCTTGGGAGGGTGGTGAGGCAAGCCTTACTTTGGTTTGGCACACATCAACATTTTTCTAAATTACTGGGATTTCTTTCCCTTTCTTTGCTGCTATAGAATTTAAATAATTTATTTCCAAAGATAAAGCACTGAACTAATTTTCTTGTTCAGTTTCTATAATTTTTCATTTCATATGTGTATGACACCAGAGATTAATCTATGTACCATGTATTATTGCAAAATATTATTTTCTTCAGTGTTGTTCCCCTCTAATTGGATTTCAGGATCTTACTAGTCAGCAGTCTGTTGGCTGTCACTATCCTTTTTATTGGAACAAGCAGCCAGCCAGTCAAGAAGCAGTCTTACTCTACAGGATATATCAAAGGCATTGATTATTGTACTAGAGAATTGCCTGAGGAAAAGAACCTCAGAGTATGTTTTGCATTTCTTTAGAAGTAGAGGAAAGATGCTTCTACATTAGATCCATTGCTGTAGATGTCTTTATTGCCTTACCACACTCACAATCTGTTTTTGCAATGAGTACTTAATGGATTGAACCAAAGCAAGGAGAATATTTCACTTCGACTGGGTACCACTGCCCTCTTTGTCCGTTATTCTGATCATATCCATATTTGCAATGTACTGAGGCAATAAAAATTGTAACTTACATCAGGGATTCAAACATAACTTCAGAGATTCAAACACAATGTTCTACAAAGGAACAAATTATGCATTCTTCCTTATGCACATCTGAGGTTTTTATTTTCTTAATACTTTATGAGCTTTTACAAAGAAGGATTCTTTTTGCCAGAGTCCTGGGAATGACTAATCTAGTGATCCATCAGAAATTGTCTATACCTACAGCAATGTTTGATACATTCTGTAGTTTAATATTGTCTGCTACAAGTAATAGTTGAAAATGTTTCACAGTGCAGTGTGATGTGAGATTAATTCATGCTGTTTCAGACCTCTTTTGACACAAACAACAAAAAATGCCTAAATTTTTTCCCCTACTTTTCACCCTAGACCAAGCCACGTCTCCAGCGGGGAGGAAGCTCTGCATCTCTCCACAACAGTCTAATGAGGAACAGTATCTTCCAGCTCATGATTCACACACTTGACCCACTTGCTGAAGGTATGCCTAGTTTCGGAATTTTTTTTTGCTTTTCTGATGCAAAAGTAAATGTTTTCATTTTCCCTTCTACCCATGAAACTGGTTTTTGCATTTCTCTTGCTTTCTTGAGTCCTTTCTGAATGTGTCTAAATTTCCTGAGAGTTCTGCATTCTTATGGTATGATATACATACTCCCACTAAGACTTTCAACTTAAGAAACTTGTTTGTTGCAGTGATAACTAAAACTGATTGCTTGGTTGATGCATATTATAACCACTGATTCTTTTAGTTTCCAGCTTCAACAGCAATTTAAAAGTTACAAAAACTCTATCCCCTTGTACTTTTGTAAAGATTTTGTTTGTTTGTTTGTTTTCTTTCCTGATTTTGATTTTAGTAAGTCAGAAAAAAAAAAGTCAAAATGTTGGATGCCTTGTTATGTGGACTACTGAGAAGAGTGAGACTCTACTGGATTGACTTCAGGTGGTTTAACACTGACATGAGAAAAAAATGCAACAAATATCCCTGTCTGTTACATATATTTTAACGGGTTGCTTGCTTTTTACAAGAGTGATGTTATTTATTTTTCTCCTTGAGAAATTTGCAGGAAGATCATGATTGTTTTGATACGAGAAGTTGGCAGGAAAACCGTGATGGTTTTGCATTTGTGTGGTGATTTGACTCTCTGCTTCTGGTAGAAGATCCAGAAAAATTCAAGGCCAGGTGTTTATTTAGTGTTTGCGTGTCTGTAGGACTTTTCTTGCTGCTGTAATAAATGTCTCGAGAAATAGCACTTGAGGGAATTGGGAAGGATTAAAGAGACCTAAAATATTACCAACTTTATCTTCCAAACTTCAGTGACCAAAAACTATATACAGCACTTCACATGAACATTCATGGCAGATTAAAGACCACAATAAAGCTAGAATTGTTGACTTAAGCTCAATTTGAACCTAACAGAGACTGAAAAATAAGATCATCTCTTAGGTGTTTTTCTACTGCTCAAGCTATTTAACTCATTTCCCAGATGTACCTTGTTCAGCGGTAATACCTCTCCTGCTTTTCCCTGTAGCAAGCTTGTGCCATATAGTGTGATCCAGAGGCTTTCCCCTTCACTAAAGCAGCACAAAAGGGGTTTAATATCAGATATTCATCCTAGGGAGAAACAGAAGCCCAGCACTTCTAAAAATTAGGTATTAATTATAAGTAAGTTTATGAGCTAACTCAATTCTGCTCTTCATTTTGTCAGTAAAATGCTTGAATCAATGTGGATTGATAGAGATGATTGCAATACCAACATTGTATTTAAGTTACTCCAGTACCATTTTCTTCAAGGTTTCTTCACTCATAATACTTCACCATTTGTTTATGGCACTTTTCCTTTTCAAATTTTTATATTTGTCCTGGAATTAATATTCTTTAAAAAATGGAATATAATCATCTTGTGGCCTTTGTATAAGTGCAAGGCCATAGACATCTTTTCATCTGTACACTTCATTAAAACTGGCACACTGAGTGAAAATTTACAAAGGGAAAAAAATCTACCTACATTTAAAGTAAATAATTTTTTTTTAATGAAAAACTTTTATGAAGAAAACACTGGAAAATAGCCTAGGTATGTTCAGACATTTAAGTTGGTGTTAATATCAAAGATGCCAATATTTCAAGCTTTTGCTGACTTCACAAAATTCAAATTTTAGTTCATGGGAACATGAAAGTGCAATTCAATAACGTTTTTTTGCATATGGAACTCTGATTTTAGCTTTTTATAAATAGGTCCAGATATGTAGGAAAAATTTTTTTTAAGAAAAAGTCCACCCATGTTTCTGTACACATTGTGGTTATTAACTTTTCTGAGGCTCTTTTTACCTCATTTGTATATTTGACTTTCAAGATATTTTGCACTGCAAGCAGTTTGGAGGGCAGACTTGAGGAATATTGGATATCTCCACTGAATACTCATAGTGTTTTCTGAGATTTTAAACTGTGTCCATATTCACTATTCGGTATTCATCTAGTTCTGCAAACTTCCATAAAAGAAAAGGTATTTTAGTTTGATGTAACTACTGTGGCTGGCTAAGGTAGGTAATACTAACTAATAAATTTGGATAGCATTGTACTTGAATCTTGCATTTAATTAAAAAAATATGTGTGATAATGCATATAGGTACCTGCTGTGAAAAATGTTATTTATTTAGCTCTATATTTAACTACCAAACTCTCAGTGTGTTTTTGTGCTTTAATCTACCTGTATATAATGGCATTGAGCCATTGAATTGATGTATCATGTTTATGTTGAGACTTTTATCATGCTAGCTAAGTAAATTTTTTAAGCTGATAGCATTTGTTGTGAATTAAAAGGGACAGTATTTATTAAAAGCATCTGAGAACTGTAGTCCTTTTCTCTATAAACTCATCATTTGAGGGGCTGTAGAAACGTAAAGGATTCCTTGGTGCCTTCTCTGGCCTGTGTGGCTTTCTCCACCTCACATTTGCTTTCATATTCCAATAAAAACCCCCTCAACAGTCTTGAGTTTTCTGTAAGCAAAGAAGATCAGCTCTCTTGCACTCAAGTAATGAATGATGATGGACTTGGTACATGACCTGTGAGGTTAAAGGATTTCTTCCAAATAATTTGATGTGAGTATGGATCAGACTTGGAAGAGCAGAAAGAAGTTCTGAGCATTTTTCAGCCCTATTTTAGTCAGCTTAGGTTTCCTCAGTATTTCTGCCAGATAATGTCTTAGATCAATAGGTCAAAAACTTCGCATCATTTGCTGTTGGATTGCAGAAATTGTTGGATTTGCAGAAAAAGAACAGTTTAAGAGAACATTACAAAGCGCCATTCTTAAAGGAAGAAAGTTTGAAAGGTTTATGTCAAAACTGACACATACACAGGGACTCTGGCATCCCCTGCTCTTGGGCATACTCCTGTCCTCCTCCCCCTCTCATTTCTGTTTTCCACATTTCACTAGCATATACTTCCTTTGCCCTTCTCATACTGCATCTCAATCACCTGCACTCACTTTCTTTCAGCCTCTTTCCATAAGACGTCTTCTTCAGTGTTTGCTCTCTTTCTGGACTATTGGGTCCATTAGTCAAATTACTTCCTGATAGTTGCCAGCAGTCCTGCAGCTGTCATGGACAAGTGAACCGGGTTTTCAGTCTCTGGAAAAGCATTCACAAAGTCTAGGAGCTCTGTGGTTGTCTCTTCATAGCTTCCAGATTGAATGTTGCCTTTAGGAGTTGAATTTCTAGTTGTTGCACTCTGCTGGGAGATCCAGTTTTTCTTTCTCTTTAAGTCAGTAATAAAGTTCACTGTTACATTCTCTTGAATAAGTGCAAGGGAAATGGGGACATAAAAGACAGACTGCTCTGTCATTTGGAGTTCTATGGGCTTTGCAAAGCTGGCAGAGAAGTCCCATCTGTGTCCTCTCGATAACATAAGCAATATAGAATGTATACACAGACTATTGTCTGTATCACTATTAAAGGTCAGCTTGATCTACACACTGTTATTATTGCATTAACATTCAATGTATTTATAGAAAACCAGCTCATCAAATTTACTTCTGAATAATTCATTTGTGAAATCAGAGCCAACCTCTACTGGAACTGAAAGTATCTTAAAAATGCACTTGATTGTAGGTAAGATACCATGAAATGAGAAAGTAAGATTTACCTTCCACAAGATGTGGATAAACAGAGCAATTCCAATATACAATTACACATTCATGAACCTGTCCTTCCTTTTCCCTTCCTACATAAATGTTGTTTTGCATGGCTTGTGCCTGTGTTGTGAAAGCCAGCTTGTAAACGCTTCAGAATCAGTGGGCTTGCAAGGTGTTCAGCTTACCTCTGACAGATGAGTAATACCTGAGATCAGTTGGAGCTGCGGGATATTTGGCACTTTGTATTCAGGCAGGTGTACGGTAATGCTGTGGATTTAACAGTCTAGACAAGGAAGACTTCTCTCCTTCAAAATCTTGGTCTCTGCACAAAGCTTCTAAGAAGATAAGAGTTCAGCCACTCAAACAGGTGAATGTGTAGGGTATTTGTTAATGGGACATGAACTTTACAGTTGAAAGCTCATCGTTCATTAAAAATATAAATATCTGTATGACATTAGGTTTTTGTTTGCTTTTATCTTATTACAGAAATAATGACCTTGATACGGATCATTTCCTGAGGATTAAGATTAATGACTGCCTGTGCATCAGGCTATCATCAACTCCCAGCCAGTCACTAATCCCCAGGAAATCCTATGCCGTATTTGCTTCTGCTTAAGTGCTGGTCTGGCAATCCAGCTGAGTAATCAGCTGGTCTGTTCATAACAACATTGCCCATATGAGTAAGGTTGGCATCATCGAACCTGCTGAGTTGGTCAGGCTCAAATCCAAAATCCAGGTAACTTGGACGTAAATCATGGCAATCACTGATCATTTCTGGCTGTTTTCTTCTGAGTCCTGTACCTTAGATACCTGTGTCCTAGTTTTGAAAGGGACATTCTTGGGTTATGAAAATGTAGGGTTTGCAAAGACGGCTTTACATTTTTTGATAGAAGAAGGCTGTTATGCAGTGAGAGCAGCGCAAGGAAAAGCATGGGAAGTATTCTGTATGGAAGTGTCTTCCATGCATAGTAATCCTACCTTCTCCCTACAAGCTGTGGGTTACCTTGAAGGATGATGACTGTGGAGGGAGCATTTTCTCTCTGGAGACTTCAACGGGCACTTTGTTGGAAAGGGAAGTTATGAGTGGTGAAGTGAGGACTCAGAGCACCAGTGCAACCAGAGGCTACCTTGCTTTTCTTGCTCAGCTTTATCAGGGTACAGGAGGAATAAGATCTTTTCATTATGACATCCCATTTCTGCCTGCTGATAAGGTGCAACAGGCCAACCAAGCGTCTCCCATGAATGAGAATTTAGCTAGTTGCTGACTTTCTTGCTCCTGTGTGACAAGGCTATAACTCATATGCAAATTCCATCCTCTGCATGAAAATCAGTGTGATGTAAATCTCTGTCATG